CCCCCCCCCCCCCCCCCACCAATCTTTGTGTCAAAGATAGATTCTGTCGCAGTCTTGCCACCCTGCTCACTTCCCTAAAATTAAACATCGTGTCCATTTTCTCTCATTATTTTAACTCTGGGGTAACCTAGTTTTAATGTCGGTTATCTCCTATCTAAAATATGAGTTCCTTCAGCATTAAAATTAAATCAACTGGAATACATTGGCTTGAGAGGGGAAACAGTCAACTGTTAAAATTTCTTGACATGGCTACTTGCCATCTCTAACATATCGTTACACTCGTTTGTTTCCCCTGTTCTGCCCTTACTGACGAGCAGAATTTCAGTCTGTGTGTATAATCTTAGATTTTGCCAGTTTAGAATTGATTAGTCATTCTTAGCTTCTGTAATTATTTGAATGCTTTCAGATTTATGATTGAATTTCATGTTCAATTTGAGAAAGAAGACTAGGTCAAAGAAACTTACTTTTAAACTTAAGGCCATTTACGAAGGCATGAAAACAGTTAGCTAAAGCAAACAAGCACTTTTTTTGTTAGATAATGGAGATGCAGTGGCAGACATGTAAGGAGGTACTTCAGAATGCATAGATATATTCTAATGAGGGAGAGAAATTCCAAGGAAAGGACCCACCATCTCAGGCTAACTAAAAACAATATTGATTGTATCAAACTTAAAAGAAAAAGCTTTCAATTGCACAAAGGATGATCTGTCAGAAAAATAGGCAGAATACTAACAGCAATAACGAAATGTGAAAACAGTAATTTCTATAGATAGTTTTAAAAGGGGTTAACAAAGTAAGGGTTGGTCACATGGAAAGCTATTGGAATTAATCATGGAAAATAAGGTGAAACGTTGTTCTTCACTGAACAAGATAGAAGTCACAAAAAAAGCTGCAAATCAGCAAATGGAAGGGAAGGAGGAACTCTCAGGAAAATTATATTCACCAGGAATGTGGCATTGAGTGTATTGTTGGAGCTCTGGGTTGACAAGTCCTCAGGTCCTAATGGATTTGATCTGAGGAGAGTCTTAAAAAATGTGGTTCGTGAGATAATTGTGTTGGTTTTAATATTTCGAAATTCCCTCAATTTGAAGAAGAATCTGTTAGGGTCGAAAGGAATTATATTTGATTTTATTCACAAAGGGAGGGAGACCAAAAGCAGCAAACTACAGGCAGGTTAACATCTGCCTAAGAGAAGATGTTAGAAGCTATTATTAATGACATTGTAGCAGGACATTTAGAAAAGATCAATGGAATTAAGCAGAGTTAATATGGTTTTGTGGAAGGAAAATCATGTTTAAGCAGTTTATTGGATTTCTTTGAGGAAGTGGAACACGATGGTTCAGTGCGCCAGGGACCTGGGTTTGATTCCAACCTCGGGCAACTGTCTTTGTGGAGTTTGCAAATTCTCCCCATGTCTGCGTGGGTTTTCTCTCTCAGTCTAAAATGTGCAAGCTCTGTGGATTGGTCATGCTAAATTGCCCATAGTGTCCAGGGATGTGTAGGTTAGGTGCATTAGCGACAGGAAATGCAGGGTTACAGGGATAGGGAGGGGGGTTGAGTCTGGGTGGAACTCTTTGGAGGGTCACTGTGGACTTGTTGGGCTGAATGGCCTGTTTTCACACTGTGAAAACAAAAGTGACATGTGCTGTGGGTAAAGCAGAGCCAATGGATGGTATAATGTATTTAGATTTCTAGAAGATATTTGTTTAGGAGCCACATCAAAGTAAAAGCTCATGGTGTAAAGGGTAACACGTTGGCATGGATAGAAGATTAGCTGGCAGAAAGCAAAGTAGGCATATATGGGCCATTTTCTATATGGCAAGTTGTGATGAATGGTGTGCCACAGAGACCAGTGTTGCATCGTCCTCTTTTTTGCAATTTGTGAAAGATTTGTATGAGGGTCTGAAGGTGTGGCTGCTAAATTTAGTGATGATATGAAGTTGGTTAGGAAAGGAACTTGTGAAGAGAACATAAGGGGGCTACAAAGGGAAAGATTCAGTGAGTGAGCAAAGACCAGGTAAATGGACTATAATGTGGGAAATGTGAAATCATCAATTTTGGCAGGAAAAATAAAAAGCAGCGTATTATCTAAATGGTGAGAGATTGCAGACCTCTGATGCAGAGGGATCTGAATGTCCTAATGCATGACTTGCAAAAGGTTAGTTCAGATAAATCAAATAATTAGGAACATTTATAGAATATTATCATTTATTGCAAGGGGAATTGAATAGGGAGGTTATGTTTCTCAGTTACACGGCACTGGTGATACCACATCTAGAGTTCTTAGTATAGCATTGTCTCGTTATTTCAGGAAGGATGTACAGGGGGTTCTGCTATAATGCGGTCGTTGTGTTCCAGCGCAACATCACATTATAGAAAATTGCGCTATATAAATAATGGGGTCAATGGGAAAAGTGGGATTAGGGGCAGAAAGGACACATATTTTCCAGAATTCTTCCTCAACTGTGTAGCTTCAATCTTGTAGCTGCAGTTATAATGACAGTTTATTAGACTGGTGATGCTGCAAAGAGGCACTTCATTTACAAATCTGACCTTGCATTTGCAATGAAATGACAGCTGGGCTTTAAATAGAGTTTCTGCCACTGGAAATCCCAGCAATGGTCAGTACTGCATGATAGTGCGAGCATGATCCAAAAGAGGTGAGCAGTGCAAAATTGTGTGAGATAGAGCTCATGGCCAGCAACCCTCCATGAAACTCCCCCGAAATTGACACATTGGCAATTTTCAGTAAAAATTCCATCAGCACAGACTTCTGGATAGATTTTCAGATAAGTGAAGCAGAGGAATCTGACCTTTCTATCCTATGTAGCCATTGGCGTTGAAGTTAATTGTAGGATTAAAATGCATTGTAAACCTGAGTAACATTGTATTCAAAATAGCGCTGGAGAAAAGCAGGTTGTAACACAGACAAATTTTGGTATAAATGTGTTACATGAGCAAGTTCAAAAATCTTACATATTAAATATGTAACGAAATCTAGGCAAAAATGCTACACCCAAAAGGTGCATGTTTTATCACTCATCTTATTTTAAACTATTCTTTTTTTCTTATATCATTAATTTAGCATCGGAGTCAATTCTTCTATTTAAATAAGCTGCATTTTTAAGTAATACTAATGCATTTAATGTGTTCAACATAAACTGTTCAAACTCAGACTTTGCATATTTTCCTAATAAGATGGTTGTTCTCTGTGTGATTTTATATTTGAGGTTCATGACATACAGTCCGTACTCGATGGAATAGTGTTACAGCCAACACAAGTTCATGTTTTACAAATACCATTCCCTTATTCATCAATCGAATTAAAGCCAATTCGCATTGCCAGAACACGTTACAGGAGAACCCCCTGTAAATGCATTGGAAGTAGTTCAGTGAAGTTTTTTACTGAACTAATATCTGAACAAGTAGTTGGGTTGTCTTCAGAGAACTGTTTGAACAGGATCAACTTGTAGCTGCTGGAGTTAGAGTAAAGAGTAAAAGACTTGTTTGAGACATATAAGATCCTGAGGGGTTTTGACAGGGTGGATATGGAGAGGATCTTGTGGGTGAATCTAGAATCAGGGGGTCAGATGTTTAAAAATAGGGGGCCACTACCTTCCATCAGAGGAGAAATTTCTTCCTCCTAAGGGGGTCATGGGTGTTTTAACTCTCTTCCAGAGAAGATGGTAAAGAAAAACAGTGTCTCTGCAGTGTAGGCAGAAGCCATTCAGCCCATCAAGTCTGTGCCAACCCTCCGAAGTGTATGCCACCCATACCAAGCCCCCCACCCTATCCCCATAACCCCGCATTTACTGTGGCTAACCCACCAAGCCTACACACTACAGACAATTGTCCATGGCCAATCTATCCAACCGCTACATCTTTGGACTCCGGAGGAAACTGGAGCATCCAGAGAAAACCCACACAGACACCGAGAGAATGTGCAAACTCCACATAGATAGTCGCCTAAGACTGGAATCGTAACTGGATCCCTGTTGCTGTGAGGCAGCTACCCAAAGCGAAGTGGTGAAAGCAGTCTTTTAATCCTTTTTAAGGCAGAGCTGGATAACTTGCTCTTATCAAGAATTTATTAGGAATAGGCAGTAATGTGGAGTGATGAGTCAGTCACGATCTTATTGATTGTCAGAGCAGGCTTAACAGGCTGAGTCATGTACTCCTGCTCCTTAATAGTTTGTTCATAGGTAACATATGTGAATGGACTCGTAATCCAGAGCTCCGGTCTGATGTGGTGTCTGAGTTCAAATCCCACCATGGTAGCTGGGGAATTTATTTTAAATTAGTTAACATCTGGAATAAAAAGGTTAAAATGCCATAAGTATTAATGCACAGTATGACCTACAAGAACAGAACAAATCAATTGTCAACAAATCAACTGCTCTCCCTCCAAACAGTTTTCATTTATTACCATGTTTTGCTTACTATTAATGAGACAGTGTCGAATGAGATTGAAAACGATTACTTTCAGCCATGAATACTTTTGTAAAGAGAGAATGTGGCCAAAGTTTTCATTTTGCACTCATCATGGTAAACTGCACACATTTTTCTGCAGTGGTGTAAATTGTTGTTACTATTTGAAATTTGACATTCCTGTAATTGTCCTGATAAAGTGCAATCTGAAAAACTTCAATAAGACCTCTTTCTCTTCAATCGTACTCAAATTCTGCTCAACTTTCATACTCCTTAATTTTTTTCTGTGTGGAACATTGAATTTTAGAAAAGCGTTTGATAGACATTATATTGAAAATGTTGCCCATATCATTGTAATTTCTGCGTTTTTAAAACAAAAGGTGTGACTGGAGTCATCTGTTAAGACTTTGGTGTTATCAATTTGTAATCCATGTTATCAATTTGTTCATGACACATTTTTGTTGAAATAATGGGAATAAAATATAACACAACATTGTGAACATTACTTAAGATGATCCCAGTTCACTCCCATGTTTTTGAATGGATCATTTTAATGGTTTGAGGATAAGTTCCACACTGCCAAAGAAGGATCGAGCTACAATATGAGTTTGTCTTATGATGGCAACTCTGTAATATGGGTCACCAATTTGCTTGATAGAGGTTCTGGTTTGAAGGTAACGGGTTATGTTCCCAAGGTTGTGCACTGTGATTGCAGAGTATGTTGTCCGAGTGCCAAACTCATGAGTCACCAGCCTGATTGAGGTCACCAGGCACAATTCTGAGGTCACAAGTTCCTTTGTAACAAGCCAGGCGGCATCGGAGGAGCAGGAAAGCTGACGTTTCGGGTTGGGACCCTTCTTCAGATTTTGACCTGAAACGTCAGCTTTCCTGCTACTCTGATGCTGCCTGGCCTGCTGTGTTCCTCCAGCTCCACACTGTGTTCTCTCAGACTCCAGCATCGGCAGTTCTTACTATCTCTTTGTAACAACGTGTGTGTGAGACTTAATTGGCCAGTCCTTGAGGCCTGATTGCTGCTTTGTAAGATCCATTGGAAAGGTAGGGTTTTTTTTTTATTTTTAAAATGCTGTGGATTTTAAACAGCTTTGTCTGCTCCGCCCATAAGTCATCCAAACACTATGAATGTTTAAAGGGTTAAATTACAAAAACAGACTGCTGATCTTACTTGTATTCCTTTAAATTTGACACCCGAGTGGTGATTTCATGGCGCTGCTTAGAAAGATAAATGGATTTGAAAGGATAGATACAAAAACTAGCTTGAGATGAAATTCATTTTGAGGATCGCTAAGCATTCTCTTCCCCAAGAGCGGAAGAGGCAGTGTCATTGAATATTTTTAAGGCTGAGTTGGACAGATTCATGATTGACAAGGGTTATGAAGTACAGCAGACTGGATGGCTGAATGGCCTACTCTTGCTCCTAATTTGTATGTTTTTGTGTTTTGTTGTATTTTCTCTGAGATGGGAAGAATAACAAGAGAAGGTAATATTGGAATTAGAATTATGGCACTAAGGGATGAAATCAGAAAGCAGTTTTTCCAGGTGTATAGTGAATATCCCAGAATCAACTTCCTCCCTTATGAAGGTTCTGGATGTTGGTCGGTTGAAATTTTGGAGAATGAGATGGACAGATTTTTATTCAGTAAGGTTATTGAGAGATTTTGATTTCTGCCTGTGTATAAATATATTTATTCACCCAGGAATGTATATTTGTAGGGAATTTATTGTCAAGCTATTTCAAGAATTCTATTAGAATAAACACTGTACCAACTCCCTTAAAACACATGGATTAAGAGCAAAAAAACTCTCGTCCAGGAGGAAACGTTATTTTCTTGTCATTCACCTTGTCCAAATAAGTATTTTAACTAGCCTTGACTGCCTACCTGAACCCAATAATATGTTTTGAGGATCTGAAAGGGATCTATTTCCCTAATTGAACAATGAATTATAATAGTGGCTGCAATCAGGTATCATGCCTTTCACTACAAGAACTTGTAAAAGGAAGCAGCCCACTAGATACTCAAGGGGATAATAGAATAAGCAAGAGATAAGCAATGAATGTAGCCTTGCTGTCATAACTTGCATCTTGCCAACAAATTTTTTAAATGTACTAATAAAATGTGCTCGTGTAATATCCAGGAAGCACTAAGCCATTTCACAGTAAATGTTATGTTTGTTGCTGCATTTTTCATTAATGATGTAAAAGTTATCTAACAGTACTGTTGGTTACTGTCAGAGGCTTACAGTCATCCTTTTTGCTTCAAATTCATGCTTGGGAAGAGTTGTAATGTGAATTTTCTGTTAATTGTAAGCATTATAATGGAAATAGTTGCCAGAATAAACATGGCACTGCTGGAATTTGCTTACTTCTCAATGCTAAATCTGCACAGTGGCTTGGTGTACAGTTGCAGAGCAATGTGTTTTTCAACCTATCTAAGTCTTTTGTAGCTGTTTTCCTAACCCAGTAACTGATGAGAAGCCTTTTCTGTTGCAGCTATCGTATGACTACAAGTTTGATTTTGAAGATGACCAGCACAAGATCCCATGTCATTGTGGAGCTGTAAACTGCCGCAAATGGATGAACTAACTGCATTCCTTGCAATATTTCTGGGGTTCGCTTGTCCCTGGGAAAAGATGCTTAAAATCTTTTTTTTTATATAAAGAAATAAGCCTGGAGCTCTCAAATGATTTTCCTCATCTCCAGCAGCAGCACAGAATTCTGTAACAAGCATAAACTAAAGACTGGCTAAGTTGCCAGTTGCCCATCTGTTCATTTATAGTGCAGGTGGAAGCAGATTACTAAATGGTCTAGCACTGGAGTTACTGTCCTGTATTGACTAAAAATGGGAAATGGTTTTATTAGGAAAAGAACCAATGGCTGGCCTGCTTTCAAGTAGGATAGGCACTTATGAATGTAGGACTGAATTCACCAGCTAGGGGAAGGATCAACAGTGCTGGCCACAGCCTTATTTGCAAGGGGCAGGCCCTCTAATTTAAAAATAAATAAATAATTAAAAGTAGACACCACTGAACAAGGAATGTACTGAGATGACTTCCTTAGGGATACAGCTAAGGGAAATAACTTGCACTAAAAAAAACATTTAAAATACTTGATTCCATGAGTCAGTTTATTGTAGTTTTTTGATTTCTGTATGATAAAAGAGAAACATTTTTGTATTTATTGGATAAGTGAATGAAGCTATTTTTAAAGATAAATGTAGAAGAAAGCCAAGCTGCTGCTGTTACCTGCAGATATAAAATCCTGTTACTTTGTAAAAAGTGTAAATAGAATGAGGAATAAACAGTATAAAAACAAATGACCAAATGCTACCTGACACTGCAGCTGTTTGCTTTTAGTGGAGTTCCCCGAGTCAGGTTCCATGGCATATAATTTTAACCAACTGTGAATTAGGTTCAAAACCACACCCAGGTAGTGGCAAGAAGCCCCTTTAGCAAACCTAGATATAAAGGTGGAGCATTGCTGACATAAGATATTCAGCAAAATCATGTAAGAGTTGTAGCCTCAAAGAATAGTTTTTATTTTTAAGCAAAATTATGAGATGTAATTATGCTAACACTGCAGGATTTTTGACAATAGGGTTTTGGAATAAATAAGAAAATAGGCACAAAAATATTATTTGTATGGATTGTTTTTGTTTACATTTCTTTAAACAAACACTGTTTTGTGTTGGCTTATAGAGGTTTAAAATATGCATTTTGAACCAGGTTAGCTTTATTTTGTACTTACAGAAAAGAAATAACTGGTACTGACACGTCACAATTATAAAGTTCAAATGAAGTTTGTGTGCACATTATCAGTAAACTGTTATATTCGATGAAACGGTCATAAAATGTAATGTATATGGCATGTTGTATTTTTTACCTTGCAGAAGAAATCAAATGTACATAGTTCTTGATAAATAGCTGTATGAATTTGTTTCCTGGATTTTTTTCTCTTGTACAATAATATTCCAACATCCCACCAGTATTTGTCCTACAGTTTTTTTTCTGTTCTGTATAATAGTATCTAATGTTGGGGGAAAAAAAGCAGCTTTTTTTTTGAAGTATAACGAGTGTTATTGGGTTTTGGAGTTTGTGCAGCCAGATTAGATCAGCATTTACAAATAAAATATTTTACATCTATGAATAGTGTTTTTGTTATGAATAGAATTGTCTTCTCATGCTGCCAAAATGCATGTGTTTATCTTGAGATATTGCTTTTGTTCAATTTGGAATGAGTGATTATCTCATATTTATGTAGTTATTCATCTCCAAACCTTTGGCCAAACCGCCTTAGATTGTAAGGCTGTAATCTGGTGGATGCAGGGCAACTAGATTTAGTGATCTGAATCTGTTGGACTGCTGGGTGAAAAGGTAAGTGCAGTTTCACAGTAAGTGGATTATCATAAAATAAGTGTGGGATAAGGGAAACCAAAGAAGGAAGCATCTTCAGTGACACACCAAACAGCAGATGGGGTTAAATGAAACATGCCAAACAAGAAAGAAGTTATCGTGAATAAATCTGTTTTTAAAAAAAAAAATTATATTCGTTTAAGTGATGTGGATGTCGGTGGGAGCATCAGTATTTGTTGCCCATCCCCAGTTGCCTTTGAGAAGATAAACCACTGTTCATGCACACAGTGCTGTTTTAGTAAAGGCTTTTGGCTCAGTGACAACAAAGAAACAGTGATACAGCTCCAAGCCAGGCTAGTGTGTGACTTGAAGGAGAAAATTTCAAGTGGCACCTACTGCTCTTGATCTTCTCAATGATAGAGGTTGCAGTCAAAAGAGCCTTGGCAAATTGCTATAATGCACTTTGTAGGTGACACCACTATGGTGGTGACACAGTGTCGAAGGTGGAGAATGAGGTACCAATCAAGTGAGCTGCTTTGTTCTGGATGGTCAAGCTTTGTAAATGTTATTGGCTAGTGAAGACTATTCAATCATGCCCCTGATATAAGTAATTACATGCTTAGCTGGTGTAGAGAAATAAAACAAATATAGCTGGGAAAACAAAAATGCTGTCAAAGCTTTTCATCTTGTGTTGGATAGATGCAAAAATACAAAAATTTCAAAGGGAGGAATAATTCTCACTGCAAGAGAGTTGACTATAGTTGATTTGCCAAACAATCGCTCCTCTCCTGTGTGTCAGTATTGAGGTAATGTTCAGTCAACGCAACATCTGCATAAGAGAAAGTTCAGCCTAACAAGTGGAAAACAGCTGGAAGTAAATCAATATATGTTTCATTGTTAAGTGTATTCACCTCAGTGGTGAATAATTAGCCTTTATATTTTTGGTAAAAAGAATTAACATGGGAGCGGCACAAACTGTTCTTTTCACCAAAGTAGCGATTCACATTTAATCTGTTCCAACTACTTCCATAGAGAGACCAAACATCTTGATCTTGTGGCAGCTTCACATGTAATTTCAGATCTGTGAGATGTTGAGCAATTGCTGTAGATGTCATTTTCAGCTAGGGTGAACGTCCTGTCCCAAATAGAAGGTCAATTTGTGCATTCAAAGTCAAAAAGTATTAATGTGATGACTAATACAGAGCCAAGTCCAAAATCCTAGATTTAAGTAAGGTTACTGGAGTGCAGGGGACTTTAATGAGGTTACATGAAAGCATACCATGACTGATAAATTTGTCCAGTGTCTCAATTTCAACACATTGAAACTGGCTTCTTATTGAAAGTTTCTGTTTACTACTTAAATTAACTTCCCAGCTTCAATTGCAGTAAGGATTGGTTGTTGGAATGGTGTTATTGTTGTAAGTGGTGGAATTAAAAGTTTAATGATAATGAAATTGTTGTCAATTGTAAAAATCCATCTGGTTCAGTAATGTCCCATTTTTTTGTTCACCCGTGGGACGAGGGCATCACTGGCTGAGCCAGCATTTGTTGTCAGCCCATTTGCTGTTGGTAGCCCCGCTTTGTCTTTAGGGAGAAATTTCCAAGATATTGACCCAGTGACAGTGAAGGAACAATGATATGTTTCCAAGTCAGGATGGTAAGTGGCTTGGAGGGGACCCTGCCGGTGGTGATGTATCTGCTAGCCTTGTCGTTCTAAATGGAAGTGGTTGTGGGTTTGGAAGGTGCTGTCTTAAGCATCTGCTACAGTGTGTTGGTGGTGGAGGAGGGAGTGAATGCTTGAGTGTTGTTGGTGCTGCACCCATCCAAGCAAGTTGGGAAGTATTCCACACACTCCTAACTTGTGCCTTGAATAGGCTTTGGAGAGTCAGGAGGTGAGTTACTTGCTGCACCATTGTTAACCTCTGACCTGCTGTTGTAGCCACTATATTAAATAGTGAGTCCAGTTCAGTTTCTTGTCGGTGGTAACCCCCAGGATTTGATCATGGATGATTCAGTGAATGTCAAGAGGTGATGGTTGTTTTGGTGCTTATTGCTGATAGTCATTGCCTGGACTTTGTGACAAAAAATTGTTACTTGCTACTTTTGAGCCCAAGCCTGGATATGTCCAGGTCTTGCTGCATTTGAGTATGGACAGTATCTGAAGTGTCATGAATGGTGCTGAACGCTGTGCAATCATCGGCGAACATTCCAATTTCTGACCTTATGAGAGAGGGAAGAGCTTTAATGAAGTAGCTGAAAATAGTTGTGCCAAGGGAATTCCTGCACAGATGTCCTGGAGCTGAAATGACTGACCTCCAACTCCAACCAGAGTTGTGTTTGCCCCTAATTTTCTTTGTGATTTGAGTTGTGCTGGGGCTCCTTGATGTCACTCTTGTTCAAATGTGGCCTTGATGTCCAGGGCTGTCACTCTCTCCTCACTGCTGGAATTCACCTCTTTTGTTCACACTTGAACCAAAGCTGTCATGAGGTCAGGAACTGAGTGGCCCTGAAGGAACCTAAACTGGGTGTTAGTGAGTAGGTTATTGCTGAGCAGGTGCTGCTTGATAGCGCAGTTGATGATTCTTTCCATCACTTTACTGATGATCAAAACGCGACTCATGGGACAGTAATTGGCCTGGTTGGATTTGTCCCACACTTTGTGTACAGGACATGCCTGGGCAATTTTCCATATTCTTGTGTAGATGTTGGTATTGTAGCTGTATTGGAACAGCTTGGCAAGAGGAGCAGCAAGTTCTGGAGCACATATCTTTAATGTTACTGGAATGTTGTAAACACCCCATAGCCTTGGGGCAGTTTCCAGTACCTCCAGTCATTTCTTGATGTCATGTGGAGTGAATCAACTTGATTGCAGACAAGCATCTGTGATGCCAGGGATCACTGGTGGAAGCCAAGATGGATAATCCATTCAACACTTGGAATGCTTCAGCCTTGTATTTTATACTTCAGTGTTGGACTCTTAGACCATTGAGTATGGGGATATTTGTGTAGCATCTGTCTCCATTGAGATAGCAAGGTGTAGAGCTGGATGAACACAGCAGGCCAAGCAGCATCAGAGGAGCAGGAAGGGTGACGTTTCGGGCCTAGACCCTTCTTCAGAAATGG